TTTGCAAATAGAGAGCAGGACTTCTATGAGAGAGGCATTATGAAGTTACCTTTAAAATGGCAACAAATCATACAACAAAACGGCACATATTTGGCCTAAATCGGACACCTCGATGTTAAATAAAGTCCTATAATTCATATAAAAATAATTGAATTCTTTTTCCCCAAAATTATATTAAAAGGAGTACCAAATTGGGAATAACACTCCAAGAACCCAATAAGTCAAGTCTCTTCAAATCATGTTATATTGTGTAGAATTATTCTATATATGCTATTTCCAGAAAGTGTCTAGCGAATTCGTCTGTTTTTATTTAGTATTTTATTTCAATATTTTATTTGTTTTCAAACAAATATTTTATTTGAATAACGCACAAACATATTTTCTGTGTGCTTTAAACAAAATATATTTTTTCAAAGCATGGTCAAAGGGCGATTTTATATTTATTTACTTATATTTTGAAATATACATTTGCTGATATTAAATTTAAACTTTTATTTATATATAAATAGAAATATAGTCATTATTTCAAACGAAAAATAATAAAAATAAATTTGACCAGTGAGCGGAGCAGTATAGTCGGACGAGGTGAACCATACGACTTCCAACGTCCACGGAACTCTAACTTATTTTTTATTCCGAGCCTGGGCAATATTTCGTGATAGTTGCACCCTTTTGCCCATTTAGAGGTCCACAGCACCTCTTCCTTACACTGACACATTTTCCGAATATTACTAATATTCATTACAGTCATTCTAATCAAGTTTTCGGTCCACTTCATCCCAAAATGATTATCTGATCATCACCGAAAATTATTATGGTCCATTTCATCCCCTAAATATTAACCGATCTTTACCAAAAACAAAAGGGATCTTTATTGGGAATTGGTCCATCCTACATGCAAAATTTCGTGAAGATTGGTTCGTAACTGTGTGTTGCCTGTATCGTGTTTACAAATTATAAATCTTTTCCATCACTTGGTACCATATTTAGTACTTTAATCCCTTTTTTATTCCTAGTGCTAATTTTCTTAAAGGAGAAAGTTGGAGCCATGATTTTGACACTGTGTATAGTTTATAAAAAATTTCCAATATAATAAACTGCATTTAGCGTGTGTGGTCCATTAACATTTCCACGCTCACTGTACTCATTGTCATTATAATATAAAATAAAATATTTTTGTTATCTTTTCTTGTTATTGCTTTCACTTAAAAGCTTAAAGCGAACTGACTTCTGGACTGCTGCACTGTTGACTTGCACTCTTAGGCGGCTGGCAGCGGGTATTAGTCGCCAGTGAGCGAGCGTATTGTACGTGAAGTTCTTAAGTACGCAACAAAATCAATTGACAAGTAAAAGGGGTCTCAGTCTGTCTGTCCGTTTGAATGTCTCCTCGTTAGGAATCAAAAAAGAAAAGAAACAAAAATTGCAATGCCACAACAAGGTGAACGCTTTTCATATTCTCCGGCAATGAGGCTTGTCGTCGTCGTCATCATCGTGGTCGTCGTCGGCATCTACCAGGCCCCTATAGTTGCCCAAACAGTAGCTTGTTGGTATTTCAAACATTTTTGGATTTTTTCCTCTTCGTTTTTTTTAAATTTTTTTAAGCGGAGAACTTTCAACTGTTTGACATGTTAACAGTATCGGTCGTTGTCCGTAAACGTTCATATATAGTATAGCATATCGTAGTATACTATATCGACTTGCTCCGATTGGATGCACGTTCATGTTGCGTTGCTTTGCTGTTATTTCGCTGCAACTAATGTTGCAATTGCAGCAATGACTGTTGCATTTGATGTTGAGTGTAATGTCAGCAAATTTTTGTTGTGTTTTTATCATCTTCTTTTGACAGTTGGCAGAATTCAAAGCAACAAACATTGATTGTTCATCGTTAGCAATTGGCATTGGTCATGTTAGTGGCTTCGTCCGCATCCATCCCAAAAACAGAAGAACATTTCACTGTTATGTGTTTAAGTGTTTTGCGTTATTTTTTGCTCTTTCTGTTTGTCTGTCCGGGCTGAAGCAAATCGGCAATTCTAAGAAATGCAAATTGAACAAAATCAAAATTGTTTGAATTTTTTCTCTTCTCTTATAAGTAAAAAAAGGGCTTACAAATGTGAAGAACAAATTATTCGCGGTAGATGATTTTGCTTGTATATTTGCATATTATATTGAAATTGTATTGACAAAAAGAGTTTAATTGCCCAAAATTTTTTAGTGGAGAACGTATGCAATTGTGTCCATGTGATAAATCAGCGACATGTGTCCTAACGCCTTTACTCGTCACTATGATACAACAAGAAATGAGATGATTATAGATTTTTTTTATTAAATCGATGTCTTTTTACTTTTTGAACATGTTGGTATCAAAATATCAATTTCTAGAAAAAGTGGACTTATTGCTTTTCTCGTTAAGCCAGCGGTATGGTATTTCCAGAAAGTGTCTAGCGACTTCATCTGTTTTTATTCAGTACTTTATTTGTTTTCAAATAAATATTTTGAATAACACACAAACAAACATATTTTATTTGTGTGTTTAAACGAAATATATATTTTTCCAAAGCACGGTCATAGGCCGATTTTTATATTTATTTACATATATTTTTTAAATATATTTGCTGATGTTAAATTTATACTATTATTTCTATATTTCTATTGAAATATGATCATTATTTTTAACAAAAAATTATAAAAACAAATAAAAACGTTCTCAAGGTCGGCCGGGTCGAAATTTTTATACCCTCTATAAATTCCTGTCATCGTTCGGGATATTTTATATAGATGTGGGTCGAAAACTTGCCAAATACTGAAATGTTGGCCACAATTATGTGGGGGCTACTGTTGAAATAGTATATAACTTTTGGATGGAAGAAGTGTTACCCAAAATACCAAATCGCAGCTAATTAGGTTGAAAAGGTGCCCAAACATACTGAATAATGAGGGGTGCCGACATATTGGAGCTACCCCATGAGATGGAACGAACTTAAATAAGTGATTTTTATCCATATCTAAAACGTCTAACACCAATCCCTACACATGTCATTCTGCAACCTATGCTAAATTTTGTAAATCGATTTAAAGCAAAGTTGACACACGCTATTCGGTATGCTGCACTGTATAAAATTTCATCTCAATCAGACACCCACTGATTATTTGGTGTAAAATTGACATGAATAAATTCTATATCTATATGTGAACCGCTATGGATCTTTATCGCAACATTCACTTAATAGCGGACGAAAATATATATAGGAAGTGTACACATAATTCTAGACTCAGTTCAGCACGCTATACTAAAATCCGTGCAAATCGAGATATATATACGTCTTTGGTGCACCAATTACCTTAAATCGGAAGAAAATATATATGAGAGATATATCTAAATCTGAACCGATTTTCATGAAACTTAGCACGCATCATTCTAGGCTTAATTCAGTGCGCTATGCCAAAATTCATACAATTCAAATGATTTTCAGGGACTTTGGTGCACCATTAACCTAAAATCGGGCGAAACTATATATGGGGCTATATCTAAATCTGAACCGATTTTCGCGGAACGTGTGCAAAGTTCCGTAGGCTATACCAAAATTCAGTAGGCTATACCAAATTTCGTGCAAATCGAAAGATATATAGGGACTTTGGTACACTATTTAAATATATATGGGAGCTATATCTAAATCTGAACCGATTTTTCCCAATTTCAATAGGGTTCGTCCTTGGGCTAAATAAATGAACTGTGTCAAATTTCACCCAAATCGGATTATGAATGCGACCTGGACTTTGTTTACAATTTAACACCAACAGACGGACGAACATGCATAAATCGACTCAGAAAGTGATTCTATGCATATTCTCAATAGGAACCATGGGTCTATCTTGGATTTTGATATTCTGCGAAAACAGAATTTTAAAAAATTCAGCCAAAAATTCATCCCAAATTGTGTCAGTATATTACATAATTTAGATTAAGATAATTTCATATATAAACCCACGATATGTTGGTAGGGTATTTATATAATAGTCTGTGTACACTAGAAGTGACTATTTTTAATATATCAGTTTTTCGGTAAATTCAGCTAAAATAGTTATTATTCTATTTTAGCTACTGCCACAAAGTCCATCAACCTCATGCCGTTTTGTAATGCTTCTTCCTGTAAGGCAATAATATCGGCTTTGTACTTCCTGAGTACATCCGCCAAAGCGAAAACTGCGCTTGTTCTGTACAACGTGCGCACATTCCAGGTGAGATTCGCAGATCGTGGAACTTTATACGTTTGCGGGTCGTCAACATTAGGGGGTTGGTTTTTTTTCGTTGCGTTTTCATAGTATTATTTTTTTCCGAGTATGGGCAACTATGTTTAACATGTCCTCATCAGCCTTATGGCTTATGAGGATATATACACTTTGAAACGCAAAAAAATGAGCCTCACAGAAATATTGGTTTTGGACCGCATGTGTCTTTGAACAAAATCCGTTTCAGACAATTTGGAGTCGATTTACAAATGTCAGTCTGTTTGTATACTGTTTCTGGTGCGCACGATAACTCTAGTTTAAGTTCGAAGATGATACCTCCACACAAAATAGCAAACATATTGTTGAAAATAATAAATTTTATAATAGTGCGAACGGAGTATTCGCTTAGAACGAAACATTGCGCAAACTACTCTCTTTAGCAAGCTTTGATCAAGTCCGAAGATAAGAGCTGTGGCGGCCGGAAAATACTCAATAATAAGTTACTTTAAAAATATTATTTTTACATGATCGGGTCATCTTTGATTTTGTATTTTTCTTTTTTCGTCATGTTAGCCTTGACTTTTGGTATTTGGTGACAACAAAATAATTTTTACATTTTCTAGTGAGTTCTATTTTGTCTTTTGAAAATTAAACATCAACTTTTTTAATAAAATTTAATTTTTGTGGTTTTATTCATTCCTACGCCCAACAAATTGGTGACCCCGAACAAAAAATAAGAACAACAGCCAATTGAACAGAAATCAGACCTACTAATGACAACGACCGCTACAAATTCTGGGCCATCAATGAAAGTTTCGCGAGTAGCTGTGAAAGCTCCACCATTTTGGCGTTCAGACCCGTTGCTGTGGTTTAAACAAATGGTATCGCAATACATTATGGCTGGTATTACGCAAGATTCCACAAAAGTCCATAACATTGTCGCATCTATTGAAAGCAGTATTTTAGAGAAGGTATCAAACATCATCGTCGATCCTCCTGCGGAGAACATGTACGACACACTTAAGGAAAAACTTATTAGCAGTTTCTCGGATTCAGAAGAAAAGCGTCTCAAGAAGTTTTTGACTAACGTTGAACTTGGAGACAAGAAGCCTTCAGAGTTATTATCCGAAATGCGGACTTTGTCTCAAACGACATTTTGAAGCAGTTGTGGATGCAACGTCTTCCTTCACAACCCCAGAAATATGTCGCCTGTTTGTTCGAGACATTAAATCGAAAACCAGGTATATGGTAAATACAGGAGCAGATTTAACGATATATCCTGTGTCCCAATCCATGCGCAATCAACCTCCCAGTCAGCTTGTTTTGTATGCCGCAAACCAAACGCCGATCAAGACATATGGCACAAAAACCCTTTCCATAGATTTGGGAATGAATCGATTGTTTAAATGGAACTTCGTAATTGCTGATGTACAAAAACCTATTATTGGATTGCTATTAAATGTATTTCAAGATCATCTGAATATACGTCATTGCTTCGAGAATTTAACGACTTAACAAAGATTAATTTCAAATCTAAAGCAAAACATTCAGTTAAGCATCATATCGAAACTACGAAAGGTCCACCCGTTTACAGCAAACCCAGACGTCTTCCACCTGAAAAACTACAAATTGTGAAGAAAGAATTCGAGGAAATGATTCGTTTTGGTATATGTCATCCATAAAATAGCAGTTGGGCTAGTCCGCTACACATGGTGAAGAAATCCAATGGAGAGTGGCGTCCTTGACCATAGGCCGAGGGTATATAACTGTCGGCAACACCGACTAACACTTTTTTACTAGGTTGAAAGTAAATCAGATCGAGTGTTCAATCTGATGTATATCAGTCACAAAAGTTTTGAGTTCTCAAGATTTATCTGCATAAACACTGTCTTTCGCGTAGCGCCATAAGAAATCGAATGGTGTCAAATCACATGATCTTGGCCGCCAGTTTAGTGGCGATGTCAAATTTTTTCTTGTAACCTATTTTTGCCAATTGTAATAATTATGTATTTGCAAAGAAAATAATTCCCATATCAAATGTTTAAATATTAAAAAAGGACATTGATATTTAAAGAAGCACAAATTATTTATTTAGGAAACAAATTTAGATGAAAATAAAATGTTATTTTTAATTTATTTCTTATTCAGATTCTTCGGGTTCTTCTTCAGCTTCAGCTTCACCGGCACCAGCTTTATCTTTAACATTTTCAATTATCTTATCAGCTGTCTTCTTTGCAGCATCGAGCATTTTAATACCGCCACCAAGCATTTCTTTAAAGAAGCTATGCTGCAATTTAAAGCAGTTTTGAAAATATTAGTTTTGTTTAATGGATGCAATTTTTCTGAAAGATCTTACCATAACGTCAGTCATTTCCACCAAAATTGGTTCTGGTTCAGGCTCAGCCTTGCTTTGGCCAGCAAGGACAGAAAGGATTACGACCAAGGCAAAAAAGAAAACGCAAGTAAATTTCATTGTTGAACCAAATATTGATTACAGATCACTGATGGAAACGATCAAATTTGAGTTGGTTTTTATAGCTGATTGAAAATATGCAGTGCTATTGATTTCACTGCACATTTTCAATTATTTTGGGAATAAAAAAACAAACATAAAAAATAACACTGTACAACACAATTTTGGAAGTGAATTAAAATCGCTACTTTGCAGCAAGACAGACATAAATAAAAAACGCGATATTTGAGTTAATGACGCAAAATGGTTCGCTATATCCGATAACATTTCATATAAATATCTATTACACTGAAATTGTAGAATTTCCTCTGTTCTTTGCAATGTAGTAGCTTATTAAAACATAAAACGCATTTTTTTGGAAAATCTATTGTTTTTGTTCATGTCACGCCATATATCCATTTTATAAATCCGATTTTTCAAAAATCGTAAAAGAAGAATTTAAAAACGACATGGTTTAAGTGAAATATCCAATCATTTAACTTTGTAATATTTTGCAGGTTGATAATTACCTCAATTTAAAAATAAAATAACCAGTAAAATATTTTGTATCTGAATATCAACCTGCAAAATATTACTATGTTAAATTATTGGATATTTTTATAAACGGACGTTGGAAAATACGACATGGTGTCTATATTATTACCCATACCCTTGATATTGATCAAATTTTTGTTGCACTGTGTCATCGATCATATTGTTTTTAAATAATTTGATTAATATAGATATAACATAACCAGCGTCAATAATTTTATTGGTTATATTTAAATAAATATAAATTTCATTTGTCTCAAGTTCCACTTAGCACCTACAAATTCAAACGAAAATAAAAATATGGTTACACAGATGTTTGATATTTTTGTTTTCAAAAGAAATGCATTATTGGATATCGCATATTTCTATTTTATATTATGACAAACTGTAAGCAACGAACCAAATGATTGTTTTTGTTAAAAATTGACCGATTAATAAATATATGTCTATAATTAGCTTTGGTTTTAATCGAGTTTTCAAAACATTTAGCTTTGGTAGAGTGAAGGACTCCATTGTCGAAATTTTTATTATTATCCAAATAAGATGTAATTTAACATTTTATGTAAATGGCCCACCAATAGGTTGTACATCCAGGATGGATTGTCCACGATTTTTTCCAAGCTAAAATTTTGTTTGCCGAGATATATATTTTTTCTCCACTTCCAAGCTAAAATTTTGTTTGCCGAGATATATATTGCTTTTAAAATATTGGAAAGTTTGGTTCAAATTGGATAGTCCGTCCGCATGATATTATAAAATTTACTTTTAGCAAAATGTTGCCCATTTAATGGGGGAGGTTCCACAAGGAGTGGGCCGATATTCCCCATCTTCAACCTAAAACTAAGTTTGAAAGAAATGTAGTTTAGTACACCATATACATTAAATCAGACTATATATATACTGACGGCCAAAACTAAAACAACTGAAATTGCGAACAGAATGACCTGTAACTAAAGCAACTTTTTGATTAAGACAGCATACCTACGAGGCATTGAATCTAAAAGATTTGATTCTTGGATATACTACTCCTCGCGTACTCTCCTTTGATTATGCCACATATAATACTACAAAGATTTTTATATAGGATGGCCATTATATAACCCTGAATTTTGACTTCCGCAACCAATCTTTTATATGTTTCGATTTATGTTTGAGCTTATTGTCATGCTGAGGCATGCAGTCAACGGGTATATTTTCTTCAGTGAAGGTATCTGTAGCGTTTTCCAACACATCTCGTACATATATCGAACTCCATAAAAAGAAAAACATCCCCATACCAGTATTGACCTCCCTTCATGCTTCCAAGTACCCTTTTAAAACTGAAGCTTTAGCCTTTCATTATTTTATCTTCTCATCGCCATTTTTTCGTGTCTGAGCTTTTAACATTTACCTTTTGCGAATTCAAATATGGCTTTCCGATTCTTTTCAGGAAATAAATGACTTTTTTGGCAGTTTCCGGGCATATGGACCTGCTACAATATCTCTTCCACGATCTGTTCTTGAGGTTATATCCAACGATATCATCAATTCCGTGGAATTCTAAAATGGGTAGTTTTAACTGTTATGGCAATTTGTAGATCAGTACGAACTGATGTTGTTTTGCAGCCTTCTTCCGTGTTGAACGTTCACTATCGTTTTAGCTGCATAAAACCGTCTTTTAATTCGAGAAAATCCGGATTAATTTATGAAATATTTTTCAAAAATATATATTCTGATATATTTTTCTCATAATCACTGGCAATTGGCTCTTTTATCGGTGAACTGTATTTTTTTCTAGCCATTTTAATATTTTTTGGCAGTAAGTCAAAACCGAAACGAGACGCATTTTATTGTAATAAAATCCATTTAAAAATTATATATAACGTTCGAAATAGGTGTAGAAATCAAAACATAACAATTATAACGGTAAAAATAACTAACACTTTAGAGTTCATCTGTTTGTACAGTAGAGTTGCTTTAGTTTTATCCAAGCATAAATTGAGACAATTTACATTTATTTATTACATTATGAATTTTGCATTAATGCTTTTGATTATTTAAGTGAATAAAGTATCCGATTTAAAACTGAAAAAAACCTACACGATATCTTTACTTTGAAAAAGTTATGCGACATTTTGGCCACTATATATATATATATGAGCTATATCTAAATCAGTATGTAAAACTTTGTTATCAAGCAGTAAAACTTTGTGACTTGGGTGCACTATGGCGGACAAACCT